GAAAAGCGGCGCAGGACGGAGGAGGAGGGGCGTGTCCTCACCCGTCAGCGTGTCCAGCAGGCAGAGGCGGCTCAGCAGGACCGCGGCCGCCACGGCCTCGCAGAGCAGGGCCTGCTGGGTAGGCTGGGCGGCGGCCTTCTCCACCGTCTGGGTCAGCAGGGGCAGCAGCTCCACGGCCTGGGGCAGCGTGTCTCCTGGGCAGACGGACAGGCAACGTATTTTAACGAGTCTTCTCCTCCTGGGAAGACGTTAGCGCCTCTTTATTTTAACGATATATTTTAATGAGTCTTCTCCAGGGAAGACTAGCGCTACTTTATTTTAATTATGTATTTTTAACAAGTCTTTTCTTCCTGGGAAGACTGTAGTGCTTCTTGATTTTAACGATGTATTTTAACGAGTCTCCTCTTCGCTACAGAAACTACAAGAGACTTGAAATCGGACAGAGGTCCTCGGACCGTACGGACCCCCTGCCTGGCCCACTGACCTTTGAAGGCTCCCAGCATGCCCTGCAGGTAGGCGTGGCGGACGGGCGAGGTGCTGGTCTTCAGGGTGAAGGCCTTCTTCAGCCAGGCCAGCAGCGCCGCCGGCACCTCCACGCTGAGGCGGCCCGCCCACTGCGACAGCACGCCCACCGCATGGACCAGGGTGCCCTCGTGCACTGGGGAGAGGGACGGGGTGTCAGAGATACCCCCGCTCCGGGCTGCGGTGCCCGGGGGACAACGGACCGGCGCGGCGTCTCCTACCTTCCTGCTGCAGGAAGGGGATGAAGAGCTCCACCACTCTGGTGCTGAGGGCCTGGCTGGAGCCGCCCGAGGCGGCGTGGTGACTGAGACTCCCGATGCCTGCAGGGAGAGGGCGGACACGTGCTCAGAGACCCGGGAATCGGCAGACCGGGACCCCCCCCGCCCCCAGAACCCCAACCGGTGTGCCCCGCTCCGCGGCAGCCCAGCGCCGAAGTGGGCGCACACACCCGCGGCGACAGGCACAGGAGCGCGCGCGCAGGGCTGCCCCGCCGGGTCCCGAGAGGGGCGCCAACGCCCCCGGCCACGCAGGGCTGATGGGAAAGAGAGGCGCAGGTTGAACAGGCGGGCTGCAGACGGGTACCTGACAGGACGCTGATCTTCTGCGCCACCACCGTCAGCTTGCCCTCCGACCCTGCAAGAGAACAGCGAGCCATGAGGATGTGCCGATGCGCGACTCCCGGGTCCTCCGGACTGGGGCGCCTCCAGGTTTCACTGCAGCTCAGCTCTTCAATGCGCCTGTTACTGCAGGATTAGGACTGAACAGCCCTGATCTAACCGTACGAGAATTAAAACATGCAGGGGGAGAGCACCCAGCCCAGCCCCAGTTCAGTACAGCGCTGGGACTAACAAGGCGCTCCTCCCATTTCTGCACAGTGCTTTGTGTGAGCGGAAGGGAAGGCTACACCTCCAGCCCTCGGGCCCAGTTTCCTGGGACGCGACCGGCGCCGTCCGCAGCTGTCAGAGTCCCCTGGACTCCGGGGAAGCGTCATCGCGGTGTGAGCTCGCGCGCGGGCACCACCCACCTCCCAAGATGCTGAAGAGCTGGGTCAGCAGGTCCTGCACGGCGGACGGGTCGCTGCACTGCTGGGCCAGGTTCCGCAGCGCCACCACCGCCTGCCCCATCAGGGCTGGGTTATTGGCCTTCAGCTGGCCTGCAACACAGCAAGAGTGGGACAGCTCAGCCCCCAGCTCTGCCTCCAGGAGCACAGCAAGAGTGAGATAGCTCAGC